GGCTTAACTTTTTACAGTGTAGCCGCCAGACTGTAGCCAAGAGGTTATCTATCCAGTTACTGGTAAGACACAACGATGTTTAACCTAACAGAGCGGCACATTTAACATTCCAAGCCCCAGGCGTACACTAGCAGCAGGACCAGCAGCAAGAATAGCGACAAAGGCACCAGTACCAGCAGCAGCACCATTAGTAGTACCAGCAGCAGCACCATTAGTAGTACCAGTAGTAGCACCATTAGTAGTACCAGTAGCAGCAGCATTAGTAGTACCAGTAGCAGCACCATTAGTAGAACCAGTAGCAGTAGCAGTACCAGCAGCAGCACCAGCAGCAGCACCAGCAGCAGCACCAGCAGCAGCAGCAGTACCAGTAGCAACATTATTACCACCATTAGTAGTACTACCAGTAGCAGCAGCAGCAGTAGTAGTAGTACCAGTAGCAACAGCAGCAGCATCATTAGTAGTACTACCATCAGCTGCATCATTATCAGTACCAGTAGCAACGGCAGCAGTATTAGCAGCACCAGCGGCAGCAATACCAACAGCACAGGCACAGAAGCAACAGCAACAGTAATAGGGTGGAGCAAGTTAGGTGAGGAAAATAATTACTGAGATGGAGGGAAGCGGTGACGGGGGAGGTTAGAGCCGTTTTCTAGTGACGATGTTTTTGGGTTTCCGCTGGTGTGATGGTTGTTACCTCCCCAACACCATCCCTCTTCAGGCTCATCCTCTATGCTGTCTCACTCGGTATATGTTACCCTTGAGGGTCCCCATCCTTTTCATCTGACTTAAGTAGCAAGTATTTTTTTCCCATCCATGAAGTATAGATTGTGTGAAAAGGAAAAAAAAACATCTGGAGCTCTCCTAGCTTCCTTGCATATTGCACTGCAATATTATCGATCGTTCCACATAAATGTGGATTAAATCATCACATGAGAGTACTACTGTATGTCGCCAGCAGATCCAGTAGTGGCAACTGAAGAATTATAACTCAGCTTTCTTTCTGATTCAGCCTCTTACATTACTGACCAAATGCTGCTAAAATCTCTGGGACCCTGGTTCTTGAGGGCGGCTGTGGGGCTGCTCCTTCATCCACTCATTTGGGAAATTTGATGGTAACCGTATCATGGCTCTTTTTTCTTCTGTCTTTTTTAAAGATTTTTTTTGGCACCATTCTTATAAGAAAATTTGGGGTGTGGTTATAACGTATGGACAAGAAAACCCCGGGCACCAGCAAAATTCTGATTCTGGGGGGATTTTTGGGGATGGGGGCCTGAAGAAGGTTGTACATAAGGTCCTCGTAGTGGTGAATTCAGTAAAGCCCTAATCTTTTTATGTCGATCACGTTAGCACGGGATATGATTTAAATTTCCCCCTATTTTTGCAATAACCTATTATTTAAATTTCCCCTAGTTTTGTATTAACCTATTATACACAAATAACCCGCAAAAAAAGAGAGAGGTTACGACGCGTTTCGGTCCGACTTGGACTTTGACAAAGTCACACAAAACCAGAAGGGGAGTAGGACGGCTTGTGGGGGTTTTTTGTTTTCTTTCCCAGTCAAGGGTTTTGTGCCTTTTTTTTTTTCATATTAGTTAACCCCATTATTGTATTCACTATTATTTTAATTCCTTGTTATTGTTTACACCTATTAGTTAACCCCCTGTTTTTGTATTACACCTATTATTTAAATTCCCTAGTTATTGATTACACCTATTAGTTAACTCCCTAGTTATTGTATTACACCTATTAGTTAACTCCCTAGTTATTGTATTACACCTATTAGTTAACTCCCTAGTTATTGTATTACACCTATTAGTTAACTCCCTAGTTATTGTATTACACCTATTAGTTAACTCCCTAGTTATTGTATTACACCAATGAGTTAGCTCTTTCCATAAATATAACAATAGAGAATAATAATTAGAGAAACAGTCACGGGAACCTTCGTCTCACTGTATTCGAAACTGCATTTTCATTCATATGTAAAACAGACATGATTCGTGAACGTGCTGGACATTGTATGAGTGAATGCAGTGATAATACACAAGTCAAGGATGGGTAGGAGTATAGAGGTGGCGTGAGTGTTATCCATCATCCATCTCCGCCATAATTGGTTCGTCTCTCTGACTTTACGCCTGTAAACACACTCATATTTTTAAGTCGGCGGGAGGAAGGGAAAAGGAGAACGGCTGAGGGAGGTCTTCAAAGAATGTTTTCACAACAAACCCTTTGCGGATTTTTAAACAGCAGAGTCAACACCAAATAATCTAGGGAGGCAATAAGTTTAATGTTTGTAAACTGATGCAGCTGTGTTGGTAAAGATGGAAACTGGTGTTGGGGTGACTAACTGAAGTATCAACATTTGCATAACATTTATGATATAGGTATTTTATCATGTTTGGTTTATCTTATTCGTTCTCTAGTCTGATCACAGTACTTGGATCGACACCATGCCTAACCCTTCTAGGGTAGGGTAGGTGCCTGAGCCCGAGCCTTTAGCTCATAAGACTGTCATTCCCATTTGCCCCCTTGGGGCGGGGATGGCAGACCAGAGAGGCCTAGCTTGTGGCTAGGCCTGGGGACAGTTGGTCCCAAAGATGAGGAGGTACTTGTGCCTCCTCCCATGGCAGACTTAGGTCTCAGACACTCCCTAAAGAGGGAGCCAAGGCCGGGCCACCACTTGGAAAAGGCCCGGGCCGGGAGAATACCGGCTAATCTTTAATAATAATAATAACAGTACTTGTTAATGTATGTGGTATTTATCAACATGACTGCGCAGTCGCACGCCATTCTTATTTTTAACGACCCATAATGTACGAGTATAACAAAGAGTGACGTTACAGTATGGTGGCTCCTACTGATTTATGTTCACTCACATATTTTACAGCAGCAGTGTCACCCTGGCTGCCAGCAGTGTCACCCTGGCTGCCAGCAGTGTCACCTTGGCTGCCAGCAGTGTCACAGAGCACACTAGTACTACTATTACTACTACTACTACTACTACTACTACTACTACTACTTCTACTACTTCTACTTCTTCTACTTCTACTACTACTACTACTACTACTACTACTACTACTACTACTACTACTACTACTACTACTACTACTACTACTACTACCACCACTACCAAATACAAGTGTATTAAGGGAAAAACTTGTGCTTAAATCCAGTGCTGTTGAATGTTGCTAACTAGACAGTAATGTATATACTCTTATGCATAAATTTTCATTTCTTTTAATGTATATGCATGTATGAGTATATCTGAGTACAGTCTCATTCACTGAAACTTTACTAACATCGCTGTCTGAAGGATTTAAGTGTTCAACTTCTCTTAGACACTTTACTAAACGTTTCCATCTTCCGACTTTCCAAGAGAGCTTCGTCATGAGCAACATTGACAGCTCCTACTGTCAATGTTGCTCATGACGGTACAACATTGACAGTAGGAGTCCACTTTCACTGGAAACTATCAGCCTTCTACCTTTCATACCTTAATACCTTAAAATAAGCCTCACTGACCACTCAAAGCCTTCTATCTCTCGCCCTTCAAGGGAAGTAAGTGTTCAGACACTGCTGAAGGATTGCTGATGAAAATAATGGGAAGCACCTTCCCATTCTTTGCATCAGATCACCACTCGTTTTTCCAGGCGTTTTATAACCCATGTGATTAACACTTTACCACATACACACACACACACACACACACACACACACACACACACACACACACACACACACACACACACACCACACACACACACACACACACACACTCACTCACACACACTAGCTTCTAGACTAATACTTAAGAAGAGACACCGGTACGTACTGGTCTTCGGGCGTCCGACTGCTCAAAGACCCACAGTTCAACTCACGTTTCCCCCAGAAAGCTGGCCAGATACTGAGACCCCTCGACCCCTGCAACCATAACTAGGTGAGTACAACTAGGTGGGTATACACACACACGCACACACACAGTTGGTGGGGTTGGAGGCAGTGAGAGGAGCAGCATCCCTCCGGAAGTGAATTCTATGCATCATTACAGTAGACAAAAAAAAATGTTGATGGTCACATGGTTAGTTTCTGGTTCACTCTCCGCATTTCCCAGCTTTTTATACTCAGTTAACTGTGTTGCTTGTGTATGGAGACGTGAGTGTGGACGTGTCTGTATGGAGACGTGTGTGTGGACGTGTCTATGGAGACATGTGTGTGTGTGTGTGTGTGTGTGTGTGTGTGTGTGTGTGTGTCATCTATGGTGTCCAGTCTTCATTATTTATGGATCCAAATGATCAATAGATCAATACCAACAAGTTGCTGACACATGTGCAACACCCAAGTGTTGCACATATGTCTTATTCATCATGTATGAATGTGACGAGCAGACTCAACCTCCGATGAATGATTAGAGACAAATTTTGGTGTGAGGAGTCGGGGATACCCTCACCCCAGAGCAAGATGGAATACATGACCTAGTATCCCAAACACCTGGGAATGTACCACCATCGTCTTAGTGTAGCTCTGTGCCTCACAAGTGTGCAACAAACACCTGGGAATGTACCACCATCGTCTTAGTGTAGCTCTGTGCCTCACAAGTGTGCAACAAACATCTTCATTATTTCTAGTTAGTCGCTTCTTAGAGATGAACAAATCACAATTCTGTGATTGGAACAATTCACAAATAACCCACAATTTGGAGAGTAAATTTTCCTCGACGTTATGATTTATAAAGACCTATGGACTGATGTTTATAATGTATATATTTTTACGATCTCTTAATATCTGCTGTGGTATTTTAATTTGATCTCAGTAGTTTTCTGCTCCCATTATCATGAGCAAACAAATAAAACCGAAGCTGGTTTTTTTTTCTCTTGAGGCCAGATATTAGCTTTTTGATTTATGTTTTTTTATTTTCATTTGTATTTATGTCAGATGTATTCTCTTGTTTTAGGAATAATTATTTTTGTTGCTTTTAACTCTTTTTAATTTTATTTTTTCAGTGTATGAAGGACTGTCGGATTCTGGTAAGAAAAATAATTACTCTTTTGTTTGGTTTAGAATATATATATATATATATATATATATATATATATATATATATATATATATATATATATATATATATATATATATATATATATATATATATATATATATCAGGGAGGAGAGAGGGAGAGAGAAAGGAGGATATAAGATCAGGGAAGAAGGGAGAGGGATAAAATCATCATAGCTTATTGGCTGATAAATCGTGAGGTGGTGGGGTAGACCACCTGACGAAGATATCGTGTCTATGATGTTGCTGGTGATAGTAGTCCTGGCGATAGTGGCAGTGGTTGTGTTGATAGTTGTAAGAGTGATGATGCTAGTGGTGAGAGTAGGATGTGTGGTGGTGGAAGAGAGAGAGAGCTGGTGGAGAGGAGCAGTGCTGTTGGTGATTGTTGTGGTGATGCTGAAGGTAATGATTGTTGTGGTGATGCTGAAGGTAATGATTGTTGTGGTGATGCTGAAGGTAATGATTGTTGTGGTGATGCTGAAGGTAATAATTGTTGTGGTGATGCTGAAGGTAATGAGTGTTGTGGTGATGCTGAAGGTAATGATTGTTGTGGTGATGCTGAAGGTAATGATTGTTGTGGTGATGCTGAAGGTAATGATTGTTGTGGTGATGCTGAAGGTAATGATTGTTGTGGTGATGCTGAAGGTAATGAGTGTTGTGGTGATGCTGAAGGTAATGATTGTTGTGGTGATGCATGAAGGTGATATGTGAGTTTTGTATTGATGCTGAAGGTAATGATTGTTGTGGTGATGCTGAAGGTAATGATTGTTGTGGTGATGCTGAAGGTAATGATTGTTGTGGTGATGCTGAAGGTAATGATTGTTGTGGTGATGCTGAAGGTAATGATGTTTGGTGATGCTGAAGGTAATGATTGTTGTGGTGATGCTGAAGGTAATGATTGTTGTGGTGATGCTGAAGGTAATGATTGTTGTGGTGATGCTGAAGGTAATAATTGTTGTGGTGATGCTAAAGGTAATGATATGGTGGATGCTGAAGGTAATGATTGTTGTGGTGATGCTGAGGTAATGATTGTTGTGGTGATGGGTAAGGTAATGATTGTTGTGATGCTGAAGGTAATGATTGTTGTGGTGATGGTGAAGATAATGATTGTGTGTGTGGTATGTGTGAGAAGCAATTCTTGTGGTGGTGATGCTGAAGGTAATTCTTGGTGGAGGATGATGCTGAAGGTAATTCTTGTGGGGGTGATGCTGAAGGTAATTCTTGTGTGGTGATGCTGAAGGTAATTTTTGGGGGTGATGCTGAAAAGGAATTCTTGTGGTGGTGATGCTGAAGGTAATTCTAGTGGTGGTGATGCTGAAGGTAATTCTTGTGGTGGTGATGCTGAAGGTAATTCTTGTGGTGGTGATGCTGAAGGTAATTCTTGTGGTGGTGATGCTGAAGGTAATTATTGTGGTGGTGATGCTGAAGGTAATTCTTGTGGTGGTGATGCTGAAGGTAATTCTTGTGGTGGTGATGCTGAAGGTAATTCTTGTGGTGGTGATGCTGAAGGTAATTCTTGTGGTGGTGATGCTGAAGGTAATTCTTGTGGTGGTGATGCTGAAGGTAATTCTTGTGGTGGTGATGCTGAAGGTAATGCCCGCGACACTGGAAGTGCTCCTCATTACTACTAACATCCTCTTACAGAGAAAAAACAGTGAGGTCACATTGACCTAGAATTACTGTGAGGTGATCAGCGTAGAAAGTCTTGTCAAACAAACTCTTCAACCAGGAAACCATCTGCCAATTATATAAAGAAGTTCTCCTATGATGAAAAACTAGCGGCATCACCCTGTGTAACCCTCTCCTCTAGTGTGTGTGTTGTGTAATAACAGAACACAGCCGCCTGACTCGCTCATTATGGCGACAATAACCTTGGCACCCGCTCACGTCCCGGTCATCTGCCTCCCGACACTTCCTGATATCTACTCCCTTCCCATGACACTCCCTCCATTCTTCGGGAGTCATCTCCCTCAAAGGGCAAGGGAGATATTCCTTGGTGTATCACTCCTTATGTTTCTGAAAAACAGGATTTGTTTTAATCAGAACAAAAAAGTGAGGAGGAAATGTATCCATGGTGTGTCTTGATGGACTGTCTTCCTGATGGTGGCGAGATAGTAACGTCTGGGCTGGACTGTCTTCCTGACGGTGGTAAGATAGTAACATCTGGGCTGGACTCCTCGTCATCTTATTGAAACTCGTTCCTTTCAAAGGAGATTCACTGATGCTGGTGAAGGGGTCCCTTAATCTAAGAAATAGCTGCCCTCTTTCTTCTTACATTAAACTCGACTACCTCCCATTCCCAAGTGTTGTGTAGCCCTCAATGGGTGTAGCCTTGACCTATGAATATGACTGAAAATCTTCCGTGTACCAAAGACTAGCCTACAACATGCCTTGGCCAGCAGTGTTACCATATAGTTATCACAGTAACTGACGTACCCATGTAACCCTTGAGCTGGAGTAGTCGTGGTGAATATGACCTGACTAAAGTTTATGTCAGTGTGACCTGTTTCATCCTAAACACTGACTAAGGGTCTGTCTGTGAACCCTAATCACTGGCATGATAAATGACCTAAACATGACCCGCATCACAGTGACCTATAATTATGTGTGACATACAAGGCTCTGCAACCCCTTGTGACTGCTCCCTCCACACCCCCCTTCCCTTTGTAGACCAAAATATACTGTTGATATTTCAGTCTCTCTCTCCCCTTCCCTCTTTGTCTGTCTGTCTGTCTCTGTCTCTCTCTCTCTTTCACACACACACAAGCAACAAATAACATCAACAACAAACTATATAACAAAAACATTATTTCAACAACTACACTAGTAACAACAACAACATCAGGTCCAACAACAACATTATCTTCATGAACAAGGACAATAACATGAAAAACAAGTGACAGAAGGATTGATGCTTGCGCACGATCGTTGTCAGGGGAGAGGAATTAGTGGTGGTGAATAGTGGTGATGGTAGTGTAGTGGTGGACACCCTCAACCCTATTGGTACAGCCTAGTATCTTGTACGTTGTGATCGTGTCTCCTTGCATGATGCTCTTTATCTTCACTTGTTCATGACGTGTGGGTTCTATGCTGGTGCTGCATACTCCAGTATGTGGTGTATACCTCATGAGAGCCTTGATGCTGATGAAGAGCTCTTGATCTGAGCAATTGGAGCTCTCTTCCCCTTCCCAGGATCTAACCTAACAGCCCCCTATTCCCCCAAGGTTAAAATTCAGCAATTAGTGCTCCCACTGTCTCATCAGGGATATATTTATCTTGGTTATTTTAGCCTGGTCATTAATCAGGAGTGACGTCACTGGGAGGTAATGATTGGCTGTTGATCCACAAATGACGGTCGGGTCAGCGCTCTAATTTCCTCTTATTAGCCAATCAGGTGCGATGTTTACGCTGGTCTCTGAACCTTGTGATCATAGATCTGATCTCACTTTATTCTCATTATCTTCCACACCACTTCGCTGTTTATGTGTAAAAAATACAATTGGTGATTTATGGCATCTGAGAACACGTTTCGCCCCAGCATCCCAGGAGGGTGAAACGTCTTCTCAATAAATGCCATAACACGCATATGGATGAGGACACTTGTGTACTGTTCAGGATATTCATTAAATGAAACGTTTCGCCACCAATGGCTTCATCAGTCCTAGTGGCGAAATGTTGTCCTGAGCTATCACAAGTGTCCTTTTGCCAAGGTTTGTGGTGTCACCATAACATTTACAAGCACAACCCGCCTTGTGTGAGTTAGGTTAGGTAAGGTTCGTCAGGAAACAGGACAAGTGTTTCCTGACGCGGGTCTTGGAAGATGACCCGCAGCTGGAGCTTTTGGTCATCCGACCGAGGCCTTCCGCTAGCTTGCCGGTCCACCCCTTTAAAAATTGTGATCGTAGTTATAACCACTTAGTAAATATTGTGTGACTTATTAACAAAGTGGTATATATACAGTTGGTAACTGGCCGATCACATGATGTTTATGAAGGCATCAAGTGTCTCGGGTTACGTGATTGGTCAGTCAGGTAGCACTTATCAACCAATGAGGCAGCTGCAGGTGAGTGACGTAACGCAGCTCGAGCTCTCTGATTGCTGGCTCGTGGGAGGTACCTTTGTTTATGCATCCTCCGCGGAAGGTGATGGCGCTAAGCTCATCCATTATCATCCAGCTCACTTGGCGCCGTAATAAACCACTCTCCTGCCCACCCACCCGCCCACTAACCCACCCACCCGCCCTCACTTTTGCCAAGCAGGAATAAAGCGAGATCTTTTATACTTTGCACTTTATTCTTCGCCGGGTCACCATGTACAAGAGGAAACAATTTCACATATCCACGACTATGCCAAGTCGACTTATTATTGATTTATGCTGACTACTCCTTGATATGTAGAACAGGTGTGCACAATGTTGGCTTCTGCAACATATCTCATATTATTGCTTAAATCGAAAAATATAAATTTGATGGAAAATATATTTCAAATTCTGCGCACATCTCTTAAACAAAATCGAAAGCCACAACGAAGTATTTCTAAGCTTTTATGAAAACATTATCTATATCACCCACATGGAGAGAGAAACTCAGAAGATTGATTGATCTGCATATTTCGACCCCCTTCTGGAGTGAGTCGTCTGGATAACTAACATGTGAAACTCTACGGTAATTAAACCTAAAAAGAGTCTTTTCTGTTGAGCTGTGGTACTTTACATTGCGCTTATATGCATAAAACTACAGTAACTTTTTCTGCAGATTTTGCGCGCACTTCTGCCAGTATTATTTCTATGTAACATCATACTGACAACCAGTCTGTGTTCATCCCTGTGACAACCCATTTCTTTTACAGTCGGGGCAAGCTTTAAGGGAGGGCAACAGGGGCCATAGCCCAGGGGCCCCTCACACACACATACACAGTAGGGCCCCCACAAAGAAACTATATTTCATACTACTAGGAAATAAATATTAATTTATAATCCATAAAATAAAACCATGTTATAAATATATAATTCCTCTGAAGCTTGTAGCAAATAATTACTCGAGTCTCGGTTGTGTATTGACGACTGTGTGGACGATCATGATATATGGTCCCTTCTTCCCTACCACCATACCACTGAGGAATGATAGACTGGTTTACAAGTCTAAGGTTTTATTAATGTGTCCAATGGAAGAACATATTCTGTTAAAAAATAACTGTTTATTCATTTTTGTTGAACTTGACTGTTCATTGTTCATATATTTTCACCAGTGCGTACCCATTGCTTTTGCCAAGTGCTCAAGATTTGTGTCTAAATTACGAAATGTTGTAGCTACATGATCAGGAGTAATAATAGTAGCAGTAATGATTAATAATAATAATAATAATAATAATAATAATAATAATAATAATAATAATAATTTGAGGGCTTATAAACTGTTTACCCAGGGGACACCAATATAATTAAACCTAGCACTGTAATTTCAACCCGCCCGTGGTATGGTTTAACTACATGATAACTACCTGGTGGTTCAAAATTACACTCACTCATCCACTGACTATAAACCCAGAAATACTAATCTTAATCTTAAAATAATAAATCCTAACTAGTCATAAGTTTGCCTATGATACTCAAATATTGACACCTTGTATTGTGCCAAAACAAAAGCATTCACATTGCTAAACTCACAAATTATGATGTAGTCACTTAGCCTTAATACCATAATCTGTAAGGATTTAATGTTAAGAATTAATCTAAGTCTGCTCGAAATGCCTAGCCATGCTAGGTGTCCTAATGGCCCCCTCTGTAATTAGTATTTTATAACATGTAAACCACAAACTACCCAAAACCTGTAAACCCCACATTGTAACCATTATAGAGAATAAACTTGAATTGAATTAATAATCTCTCTGACGATCAGTCTCTGTTCTTTTCAGTGACGGATCTGGTCTTCGGCCAGCCGGGGTCTCCGTGGACCACTGGGGACAACGACTATTACTACGACCCTCTTAACCCAGAGGACACCTTTCCAGTCATCACTAGCAGCAGCCGCTCCTTCTCTATCCAACAGGGAGACTCCGTCATCCTGCCCTGCGTCGTGCAGAACCTGGGTCAGTATTGTGTTCGCTGGTGTGACAGCCTGAGATTGGGTCTCCTGATTCCATCTGCTTGCAAAGATAGTTGTTTCGGCTGCTAATCTTCACACCCTAGCTCTGTCAGGGGAATTCCAGTCTCTATTGAGACTACGTGGTGAATTTTCCCGTGGGAGCTGGCCTCCACACGTCGGGGTGTGTGGAGACCTTTATAAATTCAGGGAAAGTAACTAAGAGAAAAATTTCGTCAGGAGCCGTGGATGGTTACAGAGCTGAAGGCTCTGTGAGGGCTTGATCAGACTGTCTAGGACAGTGCTAAGGCTCTATGTTAATTATATTCCTTTGTCTCAATTATCTTGCTTTCTACCCCTAGTTATTTTTGGTATCAGATTGTAATAAATAATTAAGGATTAACGAATTGTAATAACGTGAATTATAGTATTCACTTTCCCCTATCTTTAATTTGTCATTCTTAATAAGAATGACAAATTAAAAATAGGGGATATTACTTAAGTAGTAAGGTAAAAGTTTAGTGGAAATAATAAAAGTCCCAATAGTGTGTAGTGAGGTAAGATGGTGTCCTCACTGTTTCATCTCATTACTCATTACTTACCATACTGAGGGTAAAAAGGGTCCGCATTTCTCGCCCGTGATATGACACTAGTTGACACATCTGGTGACACACACAGCATACTGTGACTTAGTTCCTCTCTGCTTTACTTACTCTCTGTAGAGAATGAAGGACACAATACCGTGACTGGAACAATACACAAATAACGCGTGTGATTAGTTTGTGGTCCAAGTTGGACCGAAACGTTGCCATGTTTCATTCTTCTATGTGCGGGTTATTTGTGTATTTTTCCTCTCTGCGTTAGTTCCTCTCTCTTTCTCATTGATGGTTATTTTACCGTCTCTTAATTTCGCCCTCCTTCCCTCACTCACGCTCTCTTTCCCTCTATCCCTCTTCTTACCTTCTCTTCCCGATTAATTATTTCCCCATTTCTTTCTCTCTTTCCTTAGCTATTTCGCCCCCCTTTCGCCTTCTTGTTTCACTCCAAAGCCCCACCCGTTCCAGAATCACCACATTCTAGACTACCATCACTGAAGACTCACACCACTTGCTTCCTTCCACAGAAGAGTATAGCCTCATCTGGCGCCACGGGAATCAGATTCTGTGGGTGCTGCAGCATCGACCAGACGGACCCATCGTCGAGGTACGACCTCACTATTTCTATCCTGGATCCTCAATTTGTTCCTCTGCTGGAGAAAATACACACGTTACAGAACAAGGTTTTATTGGGACAATGGTGCACTCTGTATAGAGCTTTATCAAGTCTACACAGAGCGAATCTTTTCGTCAATAAATGTTTGTAATTCACTGTATCTCTTAAATGCTCGCCACGACACTTAGATGCGACTTCTCTTACATATCTTCCTCTCGTTGGTTCTTCATCTCTTGGGTCTTACAACTGGGGGAAGCTACATTTTATGTTTTGTTTTTTATTTTTATTTTCACCTAGTTAACCCTTCGCTTCTTGCATAAACACCTCATGGATCCTAAATCTCTTGGAGTTCAATATCTTTAGAGCGCTAATAATCTTAGATTCCTTTACACCTTGGGCCATTTTCTTTCAAGGTTCCACACTTCTTGGATCTTCCGTCCTTGAATTCTGACACCGCTTGAGACTACACTTCTGGATTCTACACCTCTTGAACCTTCACCTCTTAGATCCTGCACCTGTTAGATCCTGCACCTCTTAGATCCTGCACCCCTTAGAATACTCTTTTGCTATATTATTGCGAGATAATATCCTCCCATTTTACAAACAAAAATATGTATTTTGATTATTTGTGATTTACGTAATTTTAGGCTAACGTTAACCTAACCTGCCATTACATAACTCAACGTAACCTAACCGGAAGTGGCATATTTCACTGTAGCACTGGCTGAGTAAACGGGCGAGAAGCATCAAAAAACGAACGCTTTATGACGTATTACTTGATTGTAGACGTCTGTTCTTTGGTCGCCCCATAGTGACCTGGCACTCTGGAGGTCATCTCAAGGTGACCTCCGTCACTGTGCACTGTCGTAAACTGTTGACTGTTGAACAGGTATATGGGATTACACTGGAAAGACAATAGCAACGGTCATCTAAGTACCCACGGAGACTATATGTTGAGAAAAGCAATGTATTTCTATCTAGATTTATGACTGTTAGGCACTATCATGTATTACTTTGTGTGTGAGACAAAGATAAAAGCAGAAGGCTCTCTCCCCAAGCTCCACTCCAGCCATTGCCCGCGTGAAATACAGGAGTAGAAGATATTAATGGATATATTTGCTTGTCGGCTCCTTCCTGTGACGGTGGTACTTTTCCTATGATGTAGCACTTTTCCTGTGATGGTGGCATATTTGCTGTGACGGTGGCATCTTTCCTGTGACGGTGGCACCTTTTATGCTGGTGCTTTATTTAGTATCATAAATGCCGCTATTCAGCCGAATCAGTTTTGATTGCTGCATTATCCTCCGTATTTGCCTCCCCTTCCTCATCGTCAATTGTATCCTCATCCTGCTCTTCCTTTCTAATCCTGCCCGCCTTCCTCTCAATTTTCCCTCTTGTCCATCCTAATCTTGCCCTCCTTCACCCCCCTAATCTTGCCTTCCTAATACTGCCGGTCCTCTCCCTAATCCTGTTGATCCTGCCCGCCACCTTCTAGTCCTGCTGCCTTCCTACGCCAGGGTAAAGATAAGCTAAGATAAGATAAGATTTCGTTCGGATTTTTAACCCCGGAGGGTTAGCCACCCAGGATAACCCAAGAAAGTCAGTGCGTCATCGAGGACTGTCTAACTTATTTCCATTGGGGTCCTTAATCTTGTCCCCCAGGATGCGACCCACACCAGTCGACTAACACCCAGGTACCTATTTGCTGCTAGGTGAACAGGACAACAGGCGTAAGGAAATGTGTCGAAATGTTTCCACCCGCCGGGAATCGAACCCGGGCCCTCCGTGTGTGAAGCGGGAGCTTTAGCCACCAGGCCACCGGGCCACAAGATGTAAGTGTTCCTTCCTCTTTCCACAAAAACTGTCGTCGTGAGACTATTCCTCATACATTTAGTATGTTGGTCTTCCCTTTCTCATGAGTGAGAGTTAGCATTCATGGTTATATATAAATTTTTATTGTCACAAGTGCTGAATGATCTCTTAAGCAAAGAACTTTGTAAATCTTATTATATCTTCCTTCCATGTCAGTACTCAGTGGTATGTACTCACCTAATCCCCCCTATCCCTTCTGTCCTCCAGTGTTGTCAGGTGGATTTCCCTTAACCTCTCCTCGTAGGACATACCCCTTAGCTCCGGAACTAGTCTCGTTGGAAACCTTTGCACTTTCTCTAATTTCTTAACGTGTTGACCAGGTGTGGGTTCCATACAGGTGCTGCATACTCCAGTATGGGCCTAACGTGCACGGTGTACAGTGTCGTGAACGATTCATTGCTGAGGTGACGAAACACTGTTCTTAAGTGTTTGTGGTTGTGTGTGTGTGTGGTGTGTGTGTGTGTGTGTGTGTGTGTGTGTGTGTTGTGTGGTGTGTGTGTGTATCTATCTACACTTTGTTAGGTTAGGTTACATTAGGTTAAGCTAGATTAGGTTAGCTAAGATTAGGCTTAGTTTGCGTTTAATGAGAGTCCTTGCCATCATATATATATATATATATATATTATATATATATATATATTATATATATATATATATATATATATATATATATATATATATATATATATATTTAGATATATGTAATACCACCCAAACCATTGTGCCATCTTTCTAGTGGTTTACTAGCCATTTTGTGAGGGAGTAAATGGCGGTATAGAACTTTTTATTGCATAGCGCTGAAGTGAAGAAATTTATCCTGATGTTGGTTTTAGTTATGATAAACCGCTCATTGAAGATTTATGGTCATTGGATCGAGGTCTTTTACCCACCCTTCCCTTGGTTTAACGGATTTAACTTTTCACACTAATTAAAAAAAAAAAACAAGAAATACTTTTTCTGATCTTAATGTATGTTGGTGAATGTTCTCGTTGTGTCAGTAATGTGCAAAGGTTTAAAAGGTGCGTGCCTTCCTACCAGGCTGTGTCACAGGACCACCGGATCGGTCTCAATGGTACCTCTCTGATGTTGTCCAGGGTACAGTGGAAGGATGCTGGGACCTATACCTGTGAACTTTCCACACAGCCACGACGAACACTCAACCACACCCTCACCGTCAGAGGTACGTAACTCATACCACATCTTCACCGTCAGAGGTACGTAACTCATACCACACCTTCACCGTCAGAGGTACGTCACTTAGACCACACCCTCACCGTCAGAGGTACGTAACTCATACCACACCCTCACCGTCAGAGGTACGTAACTCATACCACATCTTCACCGTCAGAGGTACGTAACTCATACCACACCTTCACCGTCAGAGGTACGTCACTTAGACCACACACTCACCGTCAGAAGTACGTGTCTCATACCACACCTTCACCGTCAGAAGTACGTAATTCATACCACACCTTCACTGTCAGAGGTACGTAACTCAGACCACACCTTCACCGTCAGAGGTACGTAATTAATACACCTTCACCGTCAGAGGTACGTAATTCATACCACACCTTCACCGTCAGAGGTACGTAATTCATACCACACCTTCACCGTCAGAGGTGCGTAACTCAGACCACACCTTCACCGTCAGAGGTACGTAACTCATACCACACCCTCACCGTCATAGGTACGTCACTCAGACCACACCCTTACCATCAGAGGTTTGTCACTTTATAGGTAAAAAGAAGTCTTTATAAAACACAAGCAGTGTACCAACTGCAAGCTGTAATGTTGTTGTTGCTTCTACAGTGCCTCCGTCAGTGTACCCGGCCAATAACCGCAGTGAAGTCACCATCAGGATTGGCAGCACTGTCACCCTGGGTTGCCATGCTTCAGGTTACCCTACACCTACTGTCACCTGGACCCGAAAGGTGAGTATCTCATGCCTCTTCCCATCCCTGTCACCTGATGTATATATATGTATGTATTATTATATTAAATAATTATATATATATATATATATATATATATATATATATATTTTATATATATATATATATATATATATATATATATATATATATATTATATATATTCATATATTATGCAAACAACCACTGTGAAAGAGTAGTGAAATTCCAAGTGCTTTCGTGACTACTCACATTGTGGGTAAGCCATTGTCATAGTTCCTTGCAATGTGAGTAGTCACGAAAGCGCTTGAAATTTCACTATTCTTTCACAGTGGTTGTTTTGCATATTTTAAAATCACCTGTTTACTGTGATCTTATTGTTTATATATTATATATATATATATATATATAATATATATATATATATATATATATATATATAATATATATATATATATATATATATACCGAGGGAGAGAGGGGAGTAGGAGATATTAGGGGGGAGAAAATAATGAGGATAATTAAATTAAACGGTACAGTGATGATTGATGTAAAGCTGCAGCCATTGATCTCATTACCGATACTGCGAATATTGATGACTGAGATATAAACTTCGGTATGTGCATCGATGTGGCAAGCAGTGAAGGAATGAGGCCGCCATTGACGCAAATAAAATGATGAAAATACGTGTTTTAGTGCATCATACAACCTTGTGTATAGGTTGTATAGTTTTTGTATTAATTCTTGCTTAATGCTACACCTCGGCTGGTAAAGAACTTGCTCTGCTAGATGTGTGTTGCCTGCCTTCCTGCAGTTGTCAGGTGCTGGCCGCTCAATACACACAAAATACCTTTCTCAACCCACTCTGACTTCGAGTTTCATCTGTTCTTATTAGACCCTATTCATATTATTATTAATTTTGTTATTATTATTATTATTATTATTATTATTATTATTATTATTATTATTATTATTAGGAAGCCTTAGTCCTGTAGTGATCATACAACACCTGAGGAATGGGAAATAGTCACGTTTGACTTGTTGGGTAAATATCAGACATCTTTACACCTGGCCAGTAGTGGTGATGGTGTGTATATTGTCAGCAGAGATGGGAGCAACATCTCCTGACGCGGTTTAAATGATGACCTACTCAGTGGAACGTTTGGTCAAGCAATGACCTACTCAGTGGAGTTTTTGGTCATATGATAGAGACCTTTCCCTGGTACATCCACCACGTAAACATAATAATGATTAACTTTGGGAATAATATACTAATAAACGATTAGGATATTGTTGATGTTCAACCTTAATGACCCTCGCGTAGTTAATAGGTTTTAAGCTCAATTAACCAACCAAAACTCTTGTCTTCTCAGGGTGGAAACTTGCCAGGTCCAGCTGAAGGTGCCAACCTGACAGTACACGAGGCAGTACCTGAAGACAATGGTGTATACAAGTGCACAGCCACCAACGGTGTGGGTAAGCCAGCCTCCACCTCCATCATCCTGCAAGTCATGCGTGAGTATTTGTGCTACCTACAACCTTTGTGCTACCTTCCAGGGGAAGGGGTCACCCCGCCAAGGTAGGGTGACGCAGTTGCTCTCCGACTGTAACATCCACACGCCTCCTTCAAAGTGGAGGCTTTCGGCTCTTTTCTGTGAGATAGTTTAAAACAGTTAAAAAAAAGGTCCAGAGTAAGAGACATGTACACCTAAGGCAACCATTACACAGGAGGACTTTCCTGTTATATTCCATGACAGGATGGTTTCCGTATACTCCATCATGCAGGACAATTTTCCTGTTATTCTCCCTCGCTTAGAAGTCTTTCCCCCTTTTAGACTCCATCAGACAAAAAGGTTTTTCTCTCATTCTCCATGACATAGGGAGAGGTTCTTTTTTTTACACCATGAAGTGAAATCTGTCAGCATGAGCTTGGAGACTTCAGTAAATCGATGAGATTATCGTGAAGAATTCCATTGTAGGTTCAATAGGCACAGTATCGTATGTAGAGTACTGGTGATGTGCGGTCTGTTGGTGGCTGGTTGTAAGACACCTTCCTTGAAAGGCACGTTGACCAGAGCAGAGTTGTGCGAGTGCAGGACACAATAGTGGATGATTTGCGCTGATGGTTTTAAATTGGTGGAGCTGTTTAGTAACATTCCAGGTGTTGTTTTTTTTGTATTTTTTGATGACGTACGTGGAAATTCGTTTAGTGTTCTTTGTTATTCTTTTTTTTCATGTGTCCTCACACAATTCTGGTTGCAAGGGTCGATTCATATCTCCTGGTTCCGCCTCTTCACTGGTCGCTATTAGGGAGAGAGAGAGAGAGAGAGAGAGAGGGATGATGAGAGAGGAAGAGGAGAGAAGAGAGACAGGAGAGAGAGAGAGAGAGAGAGAGAGAGAGAGAGAGAGAGTGCATGTTGGTGTGTGCTCTAATGTCAGCATGGTTGGCAAGTCTTTTGGTGGATGCACTAGTTCATGATTGCTGGGTGTTGTTCTGACGTCATCATGGTTGATGAGTGTTGTTCTGGCGTCAGCATGGTGGATTTAATTATTTGTAGTAGTCTTTTGTTTTTAGGGATTGACAAACTAGTGGAGACCTTGACGTAGGAATGTCTAGCAGCTCCGGTAAGCCAGTGAATGCTGAACTACAATCATATAACACTTGTCCACCAGCATATACTGAACCACTGACTGGTTTCACCAATCTTACCAAAATTCAGCTCCAGGAAACACATCCCCGCTGTAACACAATGCCACCGCCATAAACCAAGGTAGAACTATAGCTCTTGGCCTGAAAATTGACCTGTGCCAACAAAATCTCTTCCTTCCACCGCCAGATCGACCAAAGGTGTGGGCGGAGAAAGAGGAGGTGTACTCTGGGGTGGGTTACGAGGCCACAATAGCTTGTTACGTGGAAGCCGAACCTCGCCCACAGGTCAAGTTTTATCGTCTGGGCGATATCCCCGTTGATCCCCTCAGGCTTTACAAGACCTTCGACGTTAACAATAGGTAGGTATCGTCCATGCTAACAATAAGTATCGTCGCTGCCAACAATAGATGGGTATCGTCGACGCTAACAATAGGTGGGTATCGTCGATGCTAACAATAGGTGGGTATCGTTGATGTTAACAATAGGTGAGAATCGCTGATGCTAACAATTGATGGGTATCGTCGATGTTAACAATAGCTGGGTACCGTCTATGTTACCCGGTTGATGCTGTAAAGCCGGGACTGTTTTCGAATTATTTTTAACTTTTTTGTGAATTAAAATAACACACACACACACACACACACAACACACACGGAGCTCTAAACTTGTAGGGAATCATACAGCACCAAGGGAATGGAAGGTAAACACCTTCGATCCAAGGAACGGGAAGGTAGCTCCAATCCCATGGATCAAACATAATTACCTCCCATTTCCCCCTACTTTATATAACCCTTAAGTATTTAGTGCTTTCCAATAAATGCAATTGCTTTTTCCGTTCATTGTCCTTGTGGTTATGAAAGAAGCTACGGGTTGCTGAACCAGCTTATACTGTGGCATTGTCACGCTCTATGTGAAGCTCTACGCAGAGCCAAACATGACGTGATAAAGCTCTACACAGCCAAAAATAACCTGATAAAGCTCTACACAGATTCAAACATGATACAAGCTCTACACGGAGTCAAACATGACTTGATACAGTCTCTACAAAGAAAGGCTTTTTCTGCAGCCTGCGTCTGTGGTGACGTGTGTCTGCAGGTCACCCCTCCATACATCTCCTTCGGGATACATACTTAGCTTGTATATTTCACTTCTCAGGTACTCGTTGCATTTTGACCACGTGCAACTGAGTGACTTCGGTTACCACACCTGCAACGCCTCCAACTTCATAGGAAATTCCTCAGCCATCATCAGGCTGTCTGGGCGACCCAAGCCTGTCAGGTAAGAGCCGATGGTTTGTCCAAAATGTCAGTAACTTTGGAGGTTCTCTACAAATATGCTGCTAACTACTGTGTGTCCTTTGATAAAGCTCCTGGTGAGCGAAACGTTGCCACAATAAATGTCACATTAGTTGCATGTGTCCTTTTACTTAGCATATCGTCTGTAATTCTACCAATATTGATACAGAATAACTTTTGTCAATTTCATTAATATCAGTTTGTTTCCATGGCATAAACTGGGAATTATAAGATATTACAAGGATCCCAATTGAAATGTCACCCTGACTTTTTTGGGAAGGTTATCCCAGGTAATTTACACATATGTTACTAGGTATGGTAATTGTACTGAGATGTGTTGAATAATAACCAACATGAAAACAGAAGCCCAGAAAATTAGTTTGCCTATAGATATTACTTATAACAACTCCACATTATTATAATCCAAAAAAAGAAGCGTTAAACCTTCCAGGGTCACAACTCCTCATTGAACTCTTCGTTTGTCGCAAAACTCTGCGGGTATCACCCGCAAAATTTCGCTAAGTGATTTGTATTAAATTTATTTAGGCACAGGTACACATAGGTACAATTATCATACGTAATGCAAATTATCTATAAGATAGTCCCAAAAAATAAGGCAAAGTGACTTATTTCCATTGGGGTGCTTATTTGACTGGGTTCTGTTCTAGCTTATTTTTATCACACAAATATACATGTGCACACGAAAATATTCACACACATATATGCATATGAATAAACAGAAAGATGGACGGGGGCTCGAACCGCGACCCTACAGTCGTTTTTAACGACTTAAATTGAGTTCATATGTACATATACATATGTAAATGCACACAAGTGTACATACACACATGCATATGCAAGCACACGCACAGTAATATTATATATATACAGACGTATACAAGCAAAAGTAAGCTTACATTTAGTTGCATTTGACTTGCATAACCGCTTAACACTATTCCTCTTGCAGTGTATTGATATAAAAGGTCCGGGGATGATGGTATACCATCTTGGGATAACATAGTTCATGATACACATCTGCTTGTTAACAATTTTCATCCTGACAGATTTACCAGCCTCAGCCAGGGGGACAAGGAGAATACTTACACTCTTGTATGGGACGTGGAGAGTTATGCTCCAGTTCTCGCCTACATCATTGCCTATAGAAACGTAAGTCTTTATTCATTATTATTATAATCACAACTAAGTGCTAAACCTACAAGGGTCATACGGCGGTGCAGAGGTTATACAGCGCCTGGGATAGTTTACCTGGAGAGAGTTCCGGGAGTCAACGCCCCCGTGGCCCGGTCTGTGACTAGGCCTCATGGTGGATCAGAGATTGATCAACCAGGCTGTTACAGCTGGCTGCACGCAATCCAATGTACGAGTCACAGCCCAGCTGGTCAGGTACCGACTTTAGGTGATTGTCCAGTGCCTGCTTGAAGACAGCCAGGGGTCTATTGGTAATCCCCCTTATGTGTGCTGGGAGGCAGTTAAGTCTCGGGCCCCTGACACTTATTGTATGGTCTCTTAACGTGCTAGTGACACCCCTGCTTTTCATTGGGGGGATGTTGCATCGTCTGCCGAGTCTTTTGCTTTCGTAGTGAGTGATTTTCATGTGCAAGTTCGGTACTTGTCCCTTTACGATTTTCCAGGTGTATATAGGGGAAGATAATTGGAATTGCTTTAAGGGGATCAAGAAAGCATTCCTCTTGAAGGGCAGTTAAGAATAGCACTGTGATGTCAGCATACTTCTGGCAAGACAGTGACTGAATGAGTGATGGTGAAAGTGTTTCCTCTCTTCAAGTCACCCTGCCATAGTGGGAGACAGCTGGTATGTTACAGCCTCCAACGTCATCAATGCTCTAACACCCTGTTCCTGTTTGCAGATGATGTGAAGTTAATGAGAATTAAATTAGATGAGGATCAGGTAGGACTTCAAAGAGACCTGGACAGGCTGGACACCTGGTCCAGCAACTGGCTTCTCGAATTTAACCCTGCCAAATGCAAAGTCATGAAGATCGGGGAAGGGCAAAGAAGACCGCAGACGGAGTATAGGCTAGGTGGCCAAAGACTGCAAACCTCGCTCAAGGATGCAATGATTATTGGGAGCGCGGGGGTATACAGCATTGAAGGCATTTGTAATCGGAACTAGCACAGATCAATTCCTAATAGACCCTCGCTCAAGGAGAAAGTCTTGCAGTACACATCAGCATGTTGAAGACACATCAACCGATACTGCTGCAGCATATGGACACCTGGCAAACCTGAGAATAGCGTTCCAATACCTTAGTAAGGAATCGTTCAAGACACTGTACACCGTGTACGTAAGGCCCATACTGGAGTATGCAGCACCTCTTTGGAACCCACACTTGATCAAGCACATCAAGAAATTAGAGAAAGTGCAAAGGTTTGCGACAAGGTTAGTTCCAGAGCTAAGGGGAATGTCCTACGAAGAAAGGTTAAGGGAAATCGGTCTGACGACACTGGAGGACAGGAGGGTTAGGGCACACACGATAACGACATGCAAAATACTGCGTGGAATAGACAAGGTGGACAGAGACAGGATGTTCCAGAGAGGGGACACAGAAACAGGGGTCACAATTGAAGTTGAAGACCCAGATGAGTCAAAGGGATGTTAGGAAGTATTTCTTCAGTCATAGAGTAGTCAGGAAGTGGAATAGACTAGCAAGTGAGGTAGTGGGGGCAGGAACTATACATAGCTTTAAGATGAGGTATGATAAAGCTCATGGAGCAGGGAGAGAGAGGACCTAGTAGCACTCAGTGAAGAGGTGAGTCTCGACCCCTGCAACCACAATTAGGTGAGTACAATTAGGTAAGTACCACTTACTCTATCTTCCCTCTTTGCTGACAGCTCAACCTTTGGCACAGACTCTGACATTTTGTCAGCAACAGATTTATCACAAACTTTGACTATACTTCCTTTAGCAGTCATCACCGCCCTTACTAACTCAACGTCTGTTATACCCTCCACCTTCGCTAGTCTCAGATCAAGCAGATTAGCAGCCAGGTCACCAACTGAAAAAGACCCGGGTCGGGACAACACCAGTGAACTACATAAAGATCAGGATCAAGCATTAATAACCTTTAGCACACCCTACCCTGCAGTGCTGTATGACCCTTATGGGTTTAACACTTACTTATGATTATATTATTATTATTATAAAGAAGCACTAAACCCACTAGGGTCTAGTGGGTTTAGTGTGTTATTATTATTATAAAATAAAAGTGTGTTAAAACAGTATGTGTTGTGAGTTTAATTCATGCTGGTAATTTTTTAGTTTTTAATTTTATCTTTAAATTTAAAAATGACCTACCTGGTCAACAAGGATGTTAGTGCTAGCAGCCTGCAGGCCCATATATTCATCACAACCTGGCTGATAGGGCACCTGTAAATTAAATTAACATTTTTATGCAGATTTTGTCACTCTTGCAGGAGAGTGATGGCGAGGACGAGGGGATCAAGTTGACGGTGCCAGGAACTACATCCTCCTCCATCTACCACTCTTACAGTCACAACTTCACCCAGCTGGAGCCAGGGGCAACATACTATGTCCAAGTCACAGCCAAAAACGAATTTGGTCTGAGTGACGTCAATGAAACTTTTACATTTACCACATTTGATCCAGGTTAGTGAAGGAAATAAATGATAAACTGCCAACGATAGTAAAGACAGAGTCCACACTAATAATAATTATTATTACAATCAAAACTTAATGCTAAACCCAATTCTGTAATAAAACTCTTCACAGAGCGAAACATTGTCTCAGTAAATCCCTCAAGGGAGGTTCCTTGATGCCGATAAGGTGCTCTTGATCCAAGATATTGGACGTGCCCTCCCCTTTCTTGGATTGAATCTGAATGCTACTGATTTCCCTTGGCTCTATGACCTCTACAGGTTTAGAACTCTCCCTTAAATGTAATATCTTGTTAAAGCTTAAGCTGCAGTGTGTCCTTTTCAGGGTAATCAAGTTCATTACAATGACAAGGAAGCACTAAACCTGTAGGTGTCAAATAGCACCTACGGAATGGGAGGCATTCAGGTCTGATCCAAGGAAGAGGAGGATGTTTGGTTCCTTGGATGAAGAGCCCCTTAAGGGCATATTATTATTATTATTATAATCAAGGGGGAAGCGCTAAACCCGGAGGATTATAGAGCGCCTAGGGGGGGATGTGGAAGGCATTCAGGCTTAATTTGGGGAACGAGCACAGATCCAATTCCCTAAATCAAGAGCCCCTCACCAACATCAAGGAACCTTCCGTGAGGGGCTTAAGGGCATAATATAAAGAATGTAATTGTAACGTATTCCACCTTGACGACTGTATTCGGATTCTTCACATACAGTGGACCCCCTGGTTAACGATATTTTTTCACTCCAGGAGTATGTTCAGGTGCCAGTACTGACCGAATTTGTTCCCATAAGGAATATTGTGAAGTAGATTAGTCCATTTCAGACCCCCAAACATACACGTACAAACGCACTTACATAAATACACTTACATAATTGGTCCCATTCGGAGGTGATCGTTATGCGGGGGTCCACTGTATTTTACCAATACCTTACAGTAACTTCTGTTCATTACATTGTATTACATATTATATTCATAGAATGCTAAACTCGCAGGGGTCATACAGGGCCTGGGGAATGGAAGGCATTTAGGCTTGATTCAAGGAATTGGAGCACAGGTCCAATTCTTTAGATCAAGAGCCCTTCACTAGCATCAAGGAACCTCCTTTGTGGGATCCAGCCCCTCAAGGGAGGTTCCTTGACACTGGTGAGGGGCTCTTGATATAGGGAATTGGATCTGTGGTCCAGTTCCCTGAATTGAGACTGAATACTTTCCATCTCCCCCATATGCCTTGTATAATCCTACAGGATTAGCACTTCCTACGATTATAATAATAATAATAATGGTGGGGTCCATCACACTAAATATTATAATTATTATTGATATTATATTATTTTCATTGTTCATAAAAATTTTTAAACCCCTATGGGTATATTTTCATAACACAAAGCTCAGGATTGTTAAACGGAACTTTGGCTTCCTAGTCATCTATTGTCAGAAAATTATTTAGGAGTGCCTCGAGCCTTCTGGAGCAATAACAAGTGCCCAAACATGAATATAAATGCAGTATAATCATGGGGGAAGTGCTAAACCCACAAGAGTCATTCAGCACCTAGGGAAATGGGAGGCATTTAGATTTAATCCAAGGAAGTACAGCTTCGGTACCTTAGATTAAAGAGCCCCTCACTGGTATTCAAGGTTTATTATCACAGAATAATGCTGAACCTGTAGAAGAGTTTTATTTTAATGATTTACTTCTTAGTTTTTGGTCAGCATCTCACAAATGGTATAGTTTTTTAAACTGCACTTGTGGCAGTGCAGTTACAGGTACACTCATGCATCTCATTACTACAGCTCTCCAGCTCTCTCATGCAACCGTACATGTTGTATAAGGGTCAAAATTTAGGTCAATTATTGTAGTTTAACCTGCATTTTCTAAAATGCAGGTTAGTTTCTTTAACAATATCAGCATGGATACACAAACATTTATGTATGCATGTTTACACATGCATGTACGTACACATACATATGTACACACACACACACACACACACACTCATATTTGTCCCACAAATTGCATGAGTCATTTGTCTCCTAGCTGGCCCTGACTCCCCCGAAGATTATGATGCTGAGGGGGAGGATTCGCTCTCCGTTATCAACCAATATGAAGACGTGGTTTCAGAGGCTGTGGGAGTGAGTCAGCTGCAAGCAGATCCCACGCCCAGCATGGATGCTGCTACCAGTCCTAACACTCCAAGCATCGTGGCTGCCAACTTAACAGAGCAGCAGCAAATTCAGAAGAAGGTTTCAACTGCAGGTAGTAACGGTATTAGTCGCAGTAGTAGTAGTAAAGTATAAGCAGCAGAAAGTTTTAGTTGTAACACTGTCATTATTATTAGTAATACTATAGTAGTGGTAGTAGTAAGAGTAAACTCATGATAGTAGCAACAGTAATAATAGTTATTATATGGTGGTGGTGGTAGTAGCAGCAGTACAAAACAAGAAGAATGGTGTCACTAGGTAAAATGAGAAGTAGATAATATTAAACAAGTTTATTGAAAGATACGAGCAAGCGATGAAAGTAAGTTTGGCTAGTGTGAAGAAAGGTTTGTGCAAAATGCAGTGAAAATGTATTATCAAAATCGTGGGGGAGGGGGAGGGAGCACTAAACCTATGAGAGCATACACCACCTGGGGAAATAGGAGGCATTCAGGTTCGATCTAAGGAGAGGGAGAAAGGCAAGTCCAATTCCTTGGATTAAGAGCCCCTCATGGGCATCATGGAGCCTTCCACGGGGAAATATAAAGGTGTAGAATTGATATAATAATGTGCTAAGGTTTGTGGACTGGAGGTTTGTAGTTACAGGAGGGTATGTACAGTACATGAGGGAAGTGAAATAGAATGATCAGTTACTACATGAAAGTTTGTGCAGTGAAAATAACACAAATGTGGGATACATACAAAAAACAAATAGACAAGGATGTGTGATGTCACCGTGGTTGTTTAATATATTTATAGATGGGGTTGTAAGAGAAGTAAATGCAAGGGTCTTGGCAAGAGGCGTGGAGTTAAAAGATAAAGAATCACACATAAAGTGGGAGTTGTCACAGTTGCTCTTTGCTGATGACACTGTGCTCTTGGGAGATTCTGAAGAGAAGTTGCAGAGATTGGTGGATGAATTTGGTAGGGTGTGCAAAAGAAGAAAATTGAAAGTGAATACAGGAAAGAGTAAGGTTATGAGATACAAAAAGATTAGGTGATGAAAGATTGGATATCAGATTGGAGGGAGAGAGTATGGAGGAGGTGAATGTATTCAGATATTTGGGAGTGGACGTGTCAGCGGATGGGTCTATGAAAGATGAGGTGAATCATAGAATTGATGAGGGGAAAAGGGTGAGTGGTGCACTTAGGAGTCTGTGGAGACAAAGAACTTTGTCTTGGAGGCAAAGAGGGGAATGTATGAGAGTATAGTTTTACCAACGCTCTTATATGGGTGTGAAGCATGGGTGATGAATGTTGCAGCGAGGAGAAGGCTGGAGGCAGTGGAGATGTCATGTCTGAGGGCAATGTGTGGTGTGAATATAATGCAGAGAATTCGTAGTTTGGAAGTTAGGAGGAGGTGCGGGATTACCAAAACTGTTGTCCAGAGGGCTGAGGAAGGGTTGTTGAGGTGGTTCGGACATGTGGAGAGAATGGAGCGAAACAGAATAACTTCAAGAGTGTATCGGTCTGTAGTGGAAGGAAGGCGGGGTAGGGGTCGGCCTAGGAAAGGTTGGAGGGAGGGGGTAAAGGAGGTTTTGTGTGCGAGGGGCTTGGACTTCCAGCAGGCATGCGTGAGCGTGTTTGATAGGACTGAATGGAGACAAATGGTTTTTAATACTTGACGTGCTGTTGGAGTGTGAGCAAAGTAACATTTATGAAGGGGTTCAGGGAAACCGGCAGGCCGGACTTGAGTCCTGGAGATGGGAAGTACAGTGCCTGCACTCTGAAGGAGGGGTGTTAATGTTGCAGTTTAAAAACTGTAGTGTAAAGCACCCTTCTGGCAAGACAGTGATGGAGTGAATGATGGTGAAAGTTTTTCTTTTTCGGGCCACCCTGCCTTGGTGGGAATCGGCCAGTGTGATAATAAAAAAAAAACATACCCTGAAATGCATGTAACCTGTACACTACTAGTCTACCAATACTTTAATCTCCAAAACGAGAATTAAAGTGAACTCTGTACGTAGCCTTCATACTGAGAATTTCCATATTATACATATTAAAGTAATTTACTGATGACTGTATACAAAGATATTACATCCAACAGAAAAAGTAGCAGTGCACGATGATTCCTCAGGAGCATTCACCTTCACAATGACACCGGCAGAGAGACGGGGCCAGATGGTCGCCCTTGTAACTGCCATCAGTCTATCTTGTTTTTTCTCATAATTTGCTATGAGGTATGTTTTCAAGACTGTTTATGGAAGCAATTTATTTTGAACTAAAATAAGTTATTCATATTTACAGATCATTATCAAGACATATACCTCTAGGGAGGCATCCAAAAACTTGGAAGAGGGGCAGCACAAAAAAAAAGAAGTCATTAAGTGAAAAAAAAAAACTTTGTCTTGCTATAGGAATGAAGTGACCATAAATCTTCAACATGTTTGGATACCACAGTAACTTACTGAAGACCATAATTAAGTGATTGATAGCATTAAGAAACTAAAGGAAATTTAAAATTTATTCTTTATGTATATTCTCAAAATATATTTGTGTATTAAAAATTGCTTTGCTAAAACATAAAATGCAAAAATACAATAATAATAATAATAATAATACAAAGAAACCATGTAACACATCAGACCATTAGTTTCCATATTTGTTTTTCAACTCTCACACAATATCATCTGAAAGAAGTGTTGCTTCCTCAACCTTGAATGTTAATTAAACTGGTGAATATTTGGTGCTTGTAATTCAGATATGAAAGTCATTGATCACAGCTGAAATAGGGAAGGCAATATTAAAATACTGGATGAAAGTAATGGACAATGAAGTAATGGACAATGGTCCATGAAGAAGAACAGAAAAAAATAAGGATGCAGTGCCTGCCAGTGCTTCAGTGGCTGTAATATTCACTGAATATCATGTCATAAATGGTTTTCAAATCATTTATCACATGTTCTTCATTAAATTTATTATAATAAAAAAAGTGCTAAACCCACTAGGGTCATACAGCACTGCAGGTTTTACAATAAATAAACATATTTTGTTGATAAATAAAAAAAACACAGTGAAACTTTTTCATATTGTATAATCTTGTTTTAATGAGTGCTTATTAAAAATATAAATTATGTTTGACAACTACTGAAGCATTTTTTTCCCATGCATCATAATGGGAGTAAAGAAGTAAGTAAAGATTAGTTTTATTTGGATTTTGACAAGTTAAAAATCACTTGTGATAATCAGGTTTGGTCCAAGGAAGGAGAGGGTGGTTCCAATTCCTTGGATCATGAGCCTTTCAACATCAAGGCACTCCCTTTGACTGGATCAAGCCATACAAGTGATGCAAAGCACATCTTCCAAGTCAAGATTTATTACACTCTTGTTCTAATTAGTGTAATGATATCAAACTCCTACTGTTTCAAACTTTGCAATACATATTGTTGCTTCAAAAATTGGGATGGTCAGTTATTTTTGTTGTTTAAAAAATAGTACAAGTATTATTTATTAAATTTTGCAATATTACAGTTACTTCAAAATTCTGTGATACAGAACTGCTATCTGTAAAAAAAAAAAAAAAAAAAAAAAAAATCATTTATTTTTTTTTTTTCAGGCTGTGAGAAGAATTGTATTTATCCCTGGCTTGGAAATGTACATTGCTGGAGAAGGAGCAGATTTTGCCTATGCATAGCTCACTACCATTGGGGAAACCGTCACAAATTACTATGTCTGGAATGCACAAAATAAGAGCTTTCAAGAGTGTTACTACATTAAGGATGTCTTTACCAAGGCTAGAGGGACAACAGAAGCTAAGTCAGCGGTAGTTACAAGTAAAAGCATTCCATGAAGTTATAGACTTTCATGAATATTGAGATTGCTCTAAAAGTGGGAATATTATTATCATATTAATGTGGAAGCGCTAAACCAATAAGGGTCATATAGCACTTAAGAATGAGAATTATGTTTGATCCAAGGAAGGGCAAGGAAACCCTATTTCTTGGAGGGATGGGAAAAGGAAGAAAAAATTTTATATATAATTAAATATATAAAAATATATAATATATATATAATATATATATATATATATATATATATATATATATATATATATATATATATATATATATATATATATATTATATATATTATAACACACACACACACACTTGCTCTTTTACAAGTGAAATTGTAAACTGACTAGTGATGGTGAGATGAGAAATTATCAGTGCACTCATAATTAGTTAGGTGTAAGATAATGAGGAAAATTAAGAAGACAGTAATATGAACACTTATGGGGATTGATTTTTGTTACATTAGCTATGGGTAAAAAAATTAATTTTAAGAAATTAAAAAGTAGTCATTGTGTGTATATTGTAACCAAAAAAGCATTATCCTCATCTTACAATATAAGTGAAAGATACTAAACATACATGCAGTTCTCTGATTTAAAATTCACATCAGAAAAACTGACACTGCTGAGAACTTTCATCACATTGCATCAAATAATAAAGTTTCAGAGTCACTGCACTGAGGTTATACATAAATAAATAAAGTGTCATCAATGCAAAAGCTTAAAAAAAAAAAAAAAAAAAGTCTCAATACTTAACTGGAATGATTTGCAACTAACCCACATTTCTGGAACCTGTGTTATAATAATAAGTATGTCCATATTATGAGTCAGTTGTGAATACAAAATTCATAATATTCAGGTGGTCCTTGACTTATGATGGTTTGACTTATGATATTTTGACTTTACAATAGTGCAAAAGCAATTACTTTGGAGATAAAACTTAAGATAATTACTCAGCACGAAGACGGCAAGTCCATAATGTGTACTCATTTATTTAGTTACAATAATTATTTGTTCATTCAATGACAGTAGTTATTTATTTAGCATATCATTCATATTCGACTTATGATATTTTCAACTTACAGTGGATTTGTCGGAACGTAACCCCATCGTAAGTCAAGGAGCCCCTATATCATGGTAGACACTGATGCTGCCTCTGTTGGTGCAGGTTCATCAACACTGAGAACATATCCCATACTGTATGTAGGAAAGGCATATGTTATACTATATCTGGACATTTGTGGAAGAGACATTTCATCTGCCAGGGGCTTTATTAATTCAATAGAGACTAGTACTCAGAGCATAAATACAATGGGTTGGGTCAGTTGCTGCATAGGCTGCAGGGTAGTACTAGATGATGGTTGTGTTCTGGTTAGGTAGGATGTCTACCTGGAGATTATTCCAGACGTCAACACCCCCACAGCCTAGTCCTAAACCAAGCCTCCCCAGTGGATCAGGTCCTGATCAATCTGGCAAGTGCTTAAAAGATTATAAAACTGCTTGTGTTTCGAACAGCTGTGTTGGTAGTAGCAAAGAGAGCAGATTATAAACAGCATCTGTAATGCAGGATTGCTTCCTTCACCAATTTATCATCAAAGAATCAGACTTGCATTGCAGATGCTATTTAGAATCTGCTCTCATTGCAAATACTAACACCAGTGCTCAAAACAAAGGCAATTTCATGATCTCAGAGGTGCCTGACAAACTCGACCTAAGTAGAACACAGCCATTACCAAGCTCTGCCCTTCAGTCTGTGCAGCCCCTCACACCTTACTGCATTTATCCTCTGAATCAGATTGATAAAGTCCCTGGTGAGCAAAATGTCTCCTTCATAAATATTCTAATACAGCATGCGTCTTTCTTATATACGTACCTGCCTGTGTTTATCACCATTTGTAACCTCATTATATCCCGTCCAGTTACTGTTTTGATAATTATTAGTGGCAGTGATAAATTCGTTTCTGCACCTTCTAAGGCTTGAAGCTCTACTTCTTAACATATCAGTTTGGTTAAACATAATGATGTACAGTATATCTGAAAAAAGACATTTGTTTATATAAGCATACTGGTATAGATAACTAAAGTGTAATGAACACTTGTCAGTGCTTAATCATAACCCAAATGGAGACAGAAACACACAAGATTAATTTGATGTATATGCTGAAGAGGATCCCAGAAGGGGATCGAAATGTGCAGACCAATTAATCTTCTGTACTCGCCTAATTACTTTTCTAATTGTGGTTGCAGGGGTTGGGTCACAGTTCCTGCCCCTGCCTCTTCACTGGTCGCTACTGTGTTTCTGTCTCCATGTGGGTTATTATAGAGCATATTGGTATAGTTTGAACACTATATAAATACGTATATAAATTAAACTAAGTTATGGCTCTTTGTGGTAATATATTGTGGATTGTTTATGAAAATAGAAATATTATAGGTAATGTCCTTTACAAAACCTGTTAAATCATTTGAAAAATGCCAGATGTAATTGATGTAGTGAGGAGGTACAGTACCTGAAACAACATAAACATCATCCAAGTTATATATACAAATAATTGCAGCACATTAACTTGGACCACAATGGGTACTATTGATCACATTTTTCCATAGCTTTCTGATTTTAATTTATTTTTCATCTTCACAATATAATGATAGCTAAATTATTATATAAGGCTAATGTTACACGTCTCTTCATCTCCCAAGGCTTTGCGTAAGTGGGTCTCTATTATTATTATTGCAATCAAAATTAAGTGCTAGACCCACCAGCGCTGTGAAACTTTCACCAACACCCATGATTATAATACCTCAGGACAAATAGAGTAGGTATTAATTTAATGTTATGTATGAACATTATTACTTTTAGAGACTGGGGGACTTTCATAACTTATCCCTGTTAAGAGAAAACTTGCGATTTATTTTTTTAATTTTGATTCCTGCTTTGTATCCAGATATCTCAAATACCTCTATAATGTTTTAAAACATTCAGTATTCCTATATTCATAAAATAAGGCTTCCTATTGACTTTTTAATACTGTTTACACTCTTATAAAGAACAGATAAATATTACGTTTTAACACAGTATTAATACTTATAAAGCACATGCATAGACTTTTCAACACATATATTCTTTTTCGGGCCACCCTGCCTTGGTGGGAATCGGCCAGTGTGATAATAAAAATAATAATAATAATATCCTTAAAGCAAAGAACATACAAATATACAACCTGCACATAGGAGACAAACTTATGTTTCAGTCTCCTATTTGCCTATTATTTGTGCATTGTTCTAGTCACAGTATTGTGCTTTTTCATTCTTTATGCAGCAAAGCATTACAGTATACTGAATTCAAAATAATGACATGTATAATCATATAAAAAATACTGCCTATAATAATAAGCAGTGTAACTCTTTGTGGCCATTTTGGAAATAAATTTTCCCATTAACTGGACTCACAGTTGTTACTGCATATTCATAGAGAAGTGATAAACCTGTAGGTGTCATACAGGACCCAGGGAATAGGAGATACAGTGGAACCCCGAATATTGGCCGTAATCCATTTCAGAAGGTCGGCCTAAATTCGAAGCAATATTCCCATAAGAATTAATGTAAATACAATTGATCTGTTCCACACACCCAAAAATATTAACAAAAAATACATTGGAGGGAGAGAGTATGGAGGTGAATGTATTCAGATATTTAGGAGTGGACGTGTCAGCAGATGGGTCTATGAAGGATGAGGTGAATCATAGAATTGATGAGGGGAAAAAGGGTGAGTGGTGCACTTTGGAGTCGGTGGAGACAAAGAACTTTGTCCATGGAAGCAAAGAAGGGAATGTATGAGAGTATAGTTGTACCAACACTCTTGTATGGGTGATGAATATTGCAACAATGAGGAGGCTGGAGGCAGTGGAGATGTCATGTCTGAGGGCAATGAGTGGTGTGAATATAATGCAGAGAATTCATAGTTTGGAAATTAGGAGAAGGTGTGGGATTACCAAAACTATTATCCAGAGGGCTGAGGAAGGGTCATTGAGGTGGTTCAGACATGTAGAAAGAATGGAACAAAGCAGAATGACTTCGAGAGTGTATAAATTTGTAGTGGAGGGAAGGCGGGGTAGGGGGTCAGCCTAGGAAGGGTTGAGGGAGGGGGGTAAAGGAGGTTTTGTGTGCGAGGGGCTTGGACTTCCAGCAAGCATGTGCGAGTGTATTTGATAGGAGTGAATGGAGACAAATGGTTTTTAATACTTGATGTGCTGTTGGAGTGTGAGCAAAGTAACACTTATGAAGGGATTCAGAGTCCTGGAGATGGGAAGCACAGTGTCTGCACCCTGAAGGAGGGGTGTTAATGTTGCAGTTTTGTAACTGTAGTGTAAAGCACCCCTCTGGCAAGACAGTGATGGAGTGAATGATAATGAAAGTTTTTCTTTTTCAGGCCACCCTGCCTTAATGGGAATAGGCCGATGTGTGAATAAAAAAAAAAAGAAAAAATGTTTTTTTAAAGATTAATTATAGTTTTACATACACAAAACAATGAGAACTAAATAAAATAAATAAATGAACATTTAAATCACTATATTACATACCTTTATTGAAGACTCTTGTTGGCTTATGGAAGACAGGGAGGACTGATTATTGTTTGGAAGGGGAATCCACCTTCATAAGGACTTCAGGTATCAAAGCCCTTTCTGATGAGATTACTTCTCTCCCTGCCTCCCTTCCACACTCCCTGTTTCCCTTCTACACTGGTTTAGCACTTCTTTTTGATTATAATAATAATAATAATAATTCCCTGCTACACTCCCTGCCTCTCTCCACATCTTCCATTGTTTATCTCTTTTTCATTAAAATGTTTACCCTTTTTGCTACATCAGTTTCCTGGAGTTGTTCTTTCTTTGCCAGGATAGAAGTGATTGTTGATTTGCTGGGAAGCTGGAGCACAAGCACACCACTCTTGTATTTTTCTACAATTTCTTTCTTCAATTTTATCATGTTTCTCACTTTCTTTACCAAGGGCTGGCACTAGGAATTTTCTTTGGGCCCATGGTGGCTTACTGCACTTAATAAACAAGCACAAAAACCAGTGGATTTTAAGGAAATGTTTGGATGAATGCATGGAGTATATGCTCATTCTCCAAGAGACACAGGAAGGCTGACTCACCTACGCGTGGCGTCCCAGGGGGAGA